CACTATGTCCTCTTTATAGAAACTACCAGGGGCTCAGGTTCCAAACTCAAGACCGAATTGATAAAAGAATCCGGTCTGTCACCCTAAAAACATCAATTCTACACCCATCAAAGCTTATTTTCTTATCTATTTGCGCTAACCAGTGAACTGTGTTGGCCTCCCATCCTAAAGGTTAACGTAGAACTCACAATTTTGGTGAAATCATAGCCCTCAAGGGTCATTTATTTCGCAACGGATTTTAACCTCAAAAGTGGCCAGTTTGCAAAGTCAATGAAGAACTGGTAAAAATACCATCACAAAATTTAAAATAAAAAGAAATATTTAAATCATTCTCATCATACATGATTAATTCTTATAGCAAAGAGAAAGAAAAAAATTACTCATAATTCACAGAAATAACACAAAAACACATAGATTTGTATTTAAGATCAAGTTTACACAAGAGAGTATAGCTTAAAAAAATATAAAATACTTATCTTAGGTTTTTCCACAAGCAAATCTTGAAGACCCTTTGAAGCAATCTTCAAACTCTTCTCAAAAGAAAAACAACACTATGACTCTATTCTACTCTCTAATCTATTGGACTCTCCAAATGATCTAAGTTTTTCCTCTCATGAAAGTCCTCTTTAAACTCTTTTCTGACCATATTGTATAAGAATCTCGAAATCCCCAAATAACACATCAATTATCCCTTCAAAATTTGTCCATATTCAATGCATCACCAGGAAAACAATCACTTGTGCCTAGGCGCCAGATATGGGGCTCAGGCGCCAGTCTTCGTCTCGTCACTGACGCTTAGGCACCGGATCCGACGCCTAGGTGTCAGTCTTCGTCCGTCTCTGGCGCTTTGGCGTCATTGCTCCACAACATCATTTTGCCTCCATTTTTCTCATTTTCCCTTAAACTCCATTTTCTATGCCTGAAACCAAAAACATGTAAAATATCTTTTGTTAAAGTGTAATATCATAAAAAAATGAACATAAAATGAGCATTAAATGTATATTTAAGATAGGTAATTTTGAGATGTATCACCCACACATTATTCTCTATAGTTCTCTTCAGTTTATTCAAAAATATAAAAAATAAATATTATTTAGCAAAATTTGACAATATTCTTTATAAATGAGTGATATAAATGTAATAGTGAAACCTTAGAAGAATTTTCAATAACTCATGTTTGAACTAAAGTGTAAGAATATCCAGTAATCAAGTTTAGGAGTTCTGGATTTCTATTGATTTTAAGAATAATTGTAATTTGTCATACTTAGGAATCTTAAAAAAATTAAAAGAAAAAAATTATATCAGAACTCTACTAGTAATGTTGTTAATACTTTTAGAATTAAGAATAAGCTTAGAAATGTAAATAAGTCCCTTCCTTTAAGATAATTCAAGTGAAGCCAATTTTTACTTAAGTATTTCCTCAAGCTTCGCCTTACATTTTTTTAAATTTCTTTTTCTTTTGATTTTGCTTTCCTTTTTCTTTGAGGATCATTTTCAACCCTTATTTTTTTCTTTTTATGTGAGAATTAATATATCTGGATAGTCTTTAATGATATTTAATTTCATTGTCCTCTTCTTAAAGTTTAAAAATGCTTACATTTTTTTACTTGATAATGTGCATTAGTTTTGAAAAAGATTTTTCGTAAAGCCTCAATACTTTTTGAAGTGTATATATCTAAGATCTTTATTATTTTAAAAAATACAATTTTCCTCAACTTGAATAGTAAAAACACAATCCTATACTCTTATAATAAATATCTTAACTCTAGAACTAACATTTATTATCTAAAACCTTTTTTATCTAAAACTTTAACTTAAGTCTACTATCACATTTATTGAATAAAAAACATAGCTATCTAAAGCTAGCACCACATACTACGGGTTATGTTAAAATAATTTTAAAATATGGTTTATTGAGGACAAATAAGGTTTAATTTAAAAAAAAAATTCTTTCTTCCCCCAAACTTAAATTTTTAATTAATTTAAAATAGTACAGTTCATTATAAGCATCAAGAAAGAGAAAAAATTTAAAGTTCTAAGCAGGAGAACAACATTGGTATAAGTAATAAAAACAGTTGCTGAGTAGTAATAAGTCTAAAATCAATATGTATAACATGACAATTCCAAAAGTAAAATACTACTCAAAACACTCAGGCATTTCTAAAAAAATTGGAGTAAAAACAAACAATAATGCATTGAAATAAAATTCTTAGCACACAATCCATCATAAGTACATTAAGTGACTACTAATGGAAATCAACATGAAAGATCAGTAGCAAAATGGAAAACTTTCTAATCATCCTCCTCTTCCTCCTCCTCCTCATCATCTATTGCAACTCTCAAATGGAGTAAATTTGGGGCATGTAGGAAACCCAACAGAATGATCACCTCTCATTAATTTCACCAATGTCTCATCAAAAATCACATCATAATCACTCTTCCTTGGCAGATACTGATCATAATGATTGATCATAATGATCCAAATGTTCATCTACATTCTAAATCTGACTATGTAAATATAAAATATCTCTCTGTTGAATTAATAGTTGCTCCATGACAGTGTCCAGAGTAGAATCACTAGATGTAGAAGGTCTCAAAGCTGAAGTAGATGTTGCATTGGTAGCTCTACCTCGAGGTCTTCAATAAGCGTCCACATTAGCTCATTCAATAGGCTTTAGTGGTTGGAGAAACTCCTCCCAAGACTCAAATCTAACTTCTGATTTTTTACATAAAGTAAAAATGAGAGAAGGATAGCCCCAACCTGTTGTAGTCCCTCCTATAGAAATTTGAAAAATGCACTTGTAAATCAGGGAACCAACATTGATGGGCTTCATCATCTAAACGCAGTAGTTCAGAAGAGCTCTATCCCCGAGTCACTTCACTCAAATGGCTGGAAGGGAGAAAACGAGCTGAGATAAAATGTCACTCCTTAGATGGGGCTTTCAGTGTAGAAGAAGTAAAATTTTCCTTTTTTATTATTTCTCACCTTCCAATTTCAACATCCATCAGTCAGATATGCAACTATTTCCTTATGTTCTCCCTCAATAGGATCAAACTCAGCGTAAAAGCAGTCAGTCACATCAGGTAACTGAAGTAAGGTGTTGATCAAAGTAGGGTTGAAATCAACTTGCCTTTCTCTAACAAAAACCAAATCATCAGACTCCTCAGGGAGATTGATGTGCCCCTAGTGCGTGTTGGTTTTCTGCATGTTTTATGTCAATTAATTCCTCTGAGACGGTGTCAAAAACTTGACCCGACCCACAGTTATATAGTAATTTAACTTTCAAAAGATAGCAAAAAAATTTGACCCAATTTATATGTAGCAGCTAATATGTAAAATCAAAATATTATAAAATGTGGAAAATAGTTCACACACTATGTGTTCTACGCAAATGCATGTATCACTTCAAGTAATATAGGTTTTCTTTAAAAATCCCAGTATCGATCCCACAAAGAAGCGAGGTAAGAAATCCCTTAGGCTAATTCCAATCTATTACTATAAGCAATTAGTTTGGAAGGTTGAATAAAGTAGTTTTAATGTATGCTAACGAAAATAAGTTTACTAAATTAATTTCTCAACTTTAAAGTTAAATTTACTAAGACAAAACAAAGTTTTGTGACCAAGAGTTCAAGTTTAAGAAAGTATCATTTCCACTAAAATGAATTGTTGGTTAATGATAGAGATAAATGGTTTGAATTTGTATTGTGTCAAATAGGAGTAGTTTTAATTCTCTACCCTCGGTCAATTGTTATAGAGAATCATAAGCTAATCTTAGGTTTAGTCCCTAAATCCATCGTTAGGCTGAGAGGATATTGGCTCTCACTTCAGAGCTCCCACTTTCCTTTCCTTGAAGGCTAACTTTCACTTTAGTTCTTAAACACTAAGGCAAAATTAAGGATTTTAGTCTGTTACCCTAGAATCTCCAATTCTTCACCTAGTAATATAAATATTTCTCTATTTATTTGCACTCAACCCCTCATCCATGGAACTTGAATGTGGTTCAAAAAATCGAAAAGTAAATTAAGAACGGGGTGAAAAATCATCACAATTATTTAACATTTAAATGGCACATTCAAATTATCTCTCCATTTCACCATATTTGATTGCAATGAGAAAGACAAAGAAGACTACTCATAATTCATGAGGAAGGTACGAAAAAACACAGATTTTATATATATAAACAAGTTTGCAAACAAAGAAATGAAAGAACACAACTTATCTTAAACTCCTCCTCAAGCAAATCCCTTGAAGTTCCCTTGAAGCACTTTCTCTCTTTACAATCAACATTGAATTCTCTCTTATAGAGAAGAAACCTCTCACCTTCCCTCTCCTCTTACAATTCTCTAAGATAATCCTCTCCACATACGAGACTTTACTCTACACTTGAACACACTCACACACACATGCACACACTCATACGCACACCCACCCACGCACACACACAAGACTCACGCCACTCCAAGAGAGGTGCCAGCCTTTCTCTTTTAAAGAGACACAAATTCCCTCTTTTTTCTAAGAGAAACATCCTTTCATCCCAAAAGATAAATCTTTTCATCCAATAGACATATCTCTTCATTTATAAGCCTTTTCCATGTGTCTAGATGCCAAAAACCGCAAAAAATCCGTCCAGAATCGTCTCTGGCACCGTCGGCACCAATTCTTGCGCCTTAGGCGCCATTTTAACGTCATTCTCTGGACTCGAGCTCCATCAACGCCCATTCTGGCGCCGTCGAAGCTGGTCTGCAACAGCTCCATTCTTTCGCTCCGTTTGACTTCGTTTCAGCTCTATTT